CTCTCCTCCGTCGTGTCGTCGGTCGTGTGTGTGTGTGTGTGTGTGTGTGTGTGTGTGTGTGGGGGGGGTGTGTGTGTGTGTGTGTGTGTGTGTGTGTGGCGGGCCGGATGTAGCGAGGAGAACCCCCTGTCCCACTTTCAGACTCAGACCCCCTCACCCTCCACAGCAGAGTGGACAGGAATCCAGACGCACAGTGGGCACGGACGGAGGAAGACAATGGTGCAACAAGGCGTTCAGACCCAGGCTGGGATGCTGTTTGTGGTTCTCTGTCTGCACATGGGAGCAGCTACTGCAGGTGAGTTAGGGCCATAATGCTCCAACATCAATAACAGGAGGAATCATTGGCAGTCTGATCTCTTTATGCTTCATTTAATATGCTGCTACACAAAGACTTACTGTGTTTGGGCCACAGGCAGTATTGCAAATGAGTTTTTGAGTTGTCATTTAAACTAATAATAGGAATAGTGGATGTACTCATGTCATGAAAATGAATGTATTGTATTTCAGTGTTACATTTAAAAAGTTTTTTAAACTGTGACTTGTTTTTTGGTAATACTTTCTGCTAAAGGAATTCAAATGTAGGGCAGGTTCATTTATACACCACATCTATTTCAATTCAACACAACGAAAGGTAGCACTCAAGTTGAATTAATGCAACAGCACTTACAATGGTCTGGCTTTTTGAAGCTAATATATAAGCAAGTTTCTTTTGAATCTTTATGGTTTATTGCACTTATTGTAAGTCACTTTGGATGTAAGCGTCAGCTAAATGAAGTGTAATTTCAAGCAGGCAATTCAAAGTGCTTCACATTAAATCATCAACAGCAACAAGACAAACAAAGCGAAAGATACCACACACCACTGATGACCATTTGAATTCTAAATATTAAAATCAGACATAGAAATCCAAGACACTAGAATATGAAAACAAGCTAAAACATGAAGATATATAAGAAAGGTATAAATGAATGCAGTGTAAGAAATTAAAATATCAGAATGACTTCATTCATCCTACAGTGGGAACATTTATGTTTCTGCAAAAGACCTGCAGTACTGTATAAGGTGACAGAAATGGCAATATGAAAATTCAACTGGAAGGAAAGTAGGTCAGAAAGGACTGATTGTTTTTGGAAGAGCAGTGCAAGTTTTTTGCCTCCAAAATGGAAGTTTCCAATATATATTAAATATATTATCTTCTGGGGATGGATTTTAATTTTAACAGTCAAACTCACCATGAATTCTTCCTCATAATAATCAAATAATTATGCACAATCCCTAATAAGGTAACTTCAGTTTATGTACTTAATTAACACGTAAAAGCTGACAGACTGTTATGAACTTTTTTACTTATGGCCCATAACTGAGTTTATGTAATGTTTTTAATGAGGGAGTGGAAGAGATACAGAGGAATCACACTGTGCTAATACAAGCCAAGAATATGATCCCAGCAGTAACAGTAACAGTGCAGTGTGCCGGGGAGAGGAGGTTCCCCC